AGTCGCTCCTGTCATTTCTACAACAACGTAGAAGGTGAGGGGGCTCATGGGTGCTGCTGTGGCCAGTAGCTCAGCACACAGCAGGGAGGGAGTAGAGCGTGTCGCCCTTGAGGGCTGAGCTCAATGGCCTCATGGCCTGCTGGCTCTTGCCCCTTGGGACTCATGCTGTCGCATCCTGCTCAGCTAGTGAGGCAGGTGCCTAGCTTGTCCCTGACTGGGGATCTGTGTTGGGTCACGTGCAGGAGAACTCACACAGTGGGCTTGAGGCAGCCTCGCCTGCATCTGGCAACGTGGATTTGGGGAGTCCCCACCACCTCTGGTAGGAAGGGCTCCCTGGGCCTCAGCTGCTTGCAGACACCTTCTTCCCCCTGGGAGTCGAACTGGGTACCTGCTAGGCAGGGGTGCCCACATGACGGGGTGTCCGGTGAGCTTCCTGGGGTGCAGCATTCTGGGGGAGTTAGCCAGGAACGGTTCCGGAAGCTTGCACCTGGTCTCTGAGACTCTTCCACACACTTCCTCCTTTGTGGATTGTGTGGTGTGTCTCTCACTGCTACACGTCACAGCGTGGGTGTGGCTCTCTCTGAGCCTTGGATGTACTCCCAGTGACTCCTGCAGCCTTTGGCGCTGTGGCGAACAGCCTCATTCAGAGGTGGGTGACAGTGATGAGCACAGGTTCGTGACAGCAGCCGGTTGTGGTGCTGCTTGATATGCGTGACTGCAGGTGCCCATGGCCCTCGGAAAGGGTCCCCTGTGTCTCTGTGCCGACTTTCCTGGGGCCCAGGTGCAGGGGCCGGCACTGGCTCCCGTGCCCTCGCCCCCGCCCCGCTGCTCCCCGCCATGCCGCCGCCCCCTGTGTCAGTCGGGCACCTCGAGCCAGGGGCGATGGCAGAGCGGCCTCTGCGTGGTGTGGTCTTTGCAGTTTCCTGGCTGCAGTCAGGGCTCTGTGGCTTGGGGGTTCAGGGTTCTCTCTGCGTCCTGCGTCAGGGTTGGGACGCAGACTCTGACGCAGAGGTGACACGGGCCCCGGAGCACTCCCGAGGCGTTGGTGGTCCGCAGGCTGCCGTCTCTGGGTTTGGATTGCCCGGTGTGCCAGGCCTGTGTGGGCAGAGGTCGGGACAGCGCTGCGCTCCCAGAGGCCTGAGCTGGGCGTCCTGCCTCCCGGCACAGGCGCCCAGTGCTCTGCCCTTGGAGACCGGGCGGGACTGACCGGGAGTGGGGCCGTGCAGGCTCCATGCCTCCTGCACAGCTCGGCCACTGTGGTGAGGACGGCCAGGCTGCCAGAGCGCACTCCTCGCCCGCTGTTTGTGTGCTGTGTCCTTCTGTCTGGTGGCCCGGGGCACCCTTGGGACAGGTGTGGAGAGTACGTGGGAAGAGTCATTCACCCATTAGGCCTCAGTGACCCGGATGAGGGTGGCCACCAGCGTCTCTGCCTGCGGCATCTGGTCTTAGCCCCAGGCTGGAGACCGCTGACTGCCTCATTCTGTGTCCTCTGCGTCAGGCCCTTGGGTGTCGGAGTCGCCCTGGAGGCCGTTGTCCCGTTCATCGCAGCCCTGCCCCTGCAAGGGCTCTGGCGTCCAGCCTGTCACGCTCAGTGGAGCCGTCCCCCTCTGCCCCACTGTGGCGGCCTCCCCCGCCCATATCCCTGCCAGAGGGGACGGGGTGCAGGCGCTCCATTCACTGTGCGCGGAGCCTTTGAGCG